TTTATTATAATAACCCTCACCCTAACTAGACACAATATTGTCCATTTTTGGCTCCCCCGTACCAAATACTTCTCAGGGAGTCAATCATCCTGGTACTATTCCAGGGTAAGCATGTTTAACTCTGGAGTTCTGGTAGGTTAACGGCTATCATGGCTTTAAAATACGTTGTTGTATAGAAGGGTGTTGAATTTACATATAACACTTGTCCCATCCACACCCAGGCGATGTGGGATTGTGCACCTGTAACTCGTCCAGTGTGGTAGCCTACTGGTGCCACCTACATACGCTCGCACACACCCACTCGTAAAATTGCAATAATCACCCCCCCCTTTGGGCCCAACATCCTCGTTGGCCACATTTCCGGTTAGGTTAGGCTCTGATTCCATTTGTAATAACCCTCACCCTAGTCGGACACAATATTGTCCACTTTTTGTTCCCCCATACTAGAGTCTTCCCAGAGGGTCACCCATCCCGGTATTACTCCAAGTTAAGCAAGCTTAATTTCGGAGTTTTGGTAAGTTCACGGCCATCATGTCTTTAAAACACATTGTTACATAGAAATGTGTCGAATCTATACATAACACTTGCCTCATCCATACCCAGACAATGTGGAATTGTGCACCTATAGCTCATCTATTGTGGTTACCTACTGGTGCCACCTGTATACGCCCACACATATTCGCTCACAAGGTTGCCATATTTCTATAGAGTCGGTGAAGGCGAATTAACTGGGTTGCCGCTTAGGGATGACAACGGGGGCGGTTTTGGGCGGGTGTACCCTCCCCCGCAACCGTTTAAAAATCCCGCCCCTATCCCCACCCAAAACCGCAAAAACGGGGGAACTTTACACCTCATCTCCGTAACCGTTTAACATTTTTATCCCCGCGGGTACCCGCCCGGCCCCGTTTAAGACCATAATTTATTTATTATTAAAATAGATTTACTCTTTTTTTTTTTTTTCCCTCATCTTCAATTTTTCACCTTGCAACTTTCCTTTTAATGAAATTCATTTGTTACTTTAATATTGTTATATAGGGTACTTAATATATAGTGGAAATTATATATATTAATGAAATAAGAGTACTTAAGTAATTTGCTATCTAAACGGGGTGGGGCGGTGCGGGGCCACCTCCCCCGCCCCCATACCAAACCTGCGCGGGTTTTTATTACATCAAACCATCACCGCCCAAATAAGTAAAACAGTCCGCCAAAATTGTCAAAAACAGGGCTGGTAACCGCGGGGCGGGTCAAATTGCCATCCCTATTGCCGCTTCTGGAATCATCACGTAATCGGTGGAAGGTGGAGGCCGCCGGTGACGGAAACAATGGCACAGTGACCACGTTGAATCGCATTTTGAGTGTGTTTATGTGCGTAGGCGGTGACTCGTCGGCGATGATGGAGGCGGAACCATAGTGGGTTTTGTTAAAGAACACAATGGCAGTGAGCAAAGCATGTGAATAATGGTTTTTCGGTAACTGGTGGAGAGGCAATGGAGTTTTTGACTACTATACCATGCGATCCAATGTTGGACGTGTTATAACGAGTCGACCAAGTAGGCCAACTCGGCTACTCGTGAGACCCAATCCGGTGGTAGAGACAACCTGTTTACTCACCAGAGCGAGTTATTATTCTCTCTCTATTGTCGCCTCACCGACCCGTTAACTAACCATCATCCTCTTCATCACTCCACCAAAGAACACTATACAGAACAATTTACTCGCCGAACTTAGGCCTGAGATTGATGCAGTGAAAATTGCAGAGGTTGCTGTCGCCAAAGGTTTCATCGTTAGTGTGCCATAGTTGCCGTTGTTGTTGCCTTTGCCGCGATTTAAGTAATGGCGGGCTTGAATAACAGTTGTCATTAAGTGTTGTTGAACATATGCTTGAGATTGACACGGTTATGTGTTGTTGAAGAAGAAGAAGAAGCGTGTTTGGTTACAAGAGTGATGGTGTCTTAAACTAGCTTGACCTAAGCCATTTTTGGAAAACTGAAATGGCAAAATGGATGTTATAACACTAATTTATGTCAGATTTATGATCGAGGGGTATTTTTCACAATGTGAAAAAGAATAGGGGTGTTTTTTATACACATTTTCAAATAGGGGTAAAAGTGATACTTAGAGTATACATTAGGGGTGTTTTGTGCGCTTGCCTCGTTTAAATTATCAATGCTAATGTACTAAGGAAGTTGAGCATGCACACCAAACGCAACATTAGATTCTTATATTAAATGAAATATTTAAAATCTTAATTGGTAAGAAATATAAAAAAAATGCATATTATAGCAATGGTTTGTAACTGTTGGAAAATTTCAAAAAGAGAAATTCAAAAGGCAAGCTATTTAAATTCTGTATTAAGGAAGTGGTTCATGCATTTTGGAAAAATTAAAAGGAGAAATTCAAAAGGTACAAACTATTTAAATTCTTCTAATATACACCTAATACATACTTAATTATTATTTGATAAAAAATATAAGAAATTGAAAAATTCAAGAAGTGCGAGCTTTATAAATTCTCAATTTTCTCTATAAAAAACCAACAACACATAATAATAAAATTTTCCCGCACTCTCATGCGTATATTATTATAGAGATAATATATATGGATAGATTTTGAAATTGCAACAGTTGTAAAGAGATGAGTTGTAACCATGGTTATTTTGATAATTTATTTATTTATTTTGACGGTTTAAGTTCTCAGTATCCATCCAATTTGTAGTCAAATTAATTGAGATCAGTTAATTAATTAGGGTATGGTCAAATTACAAGCTATATTATCTAAGTAAAAATAAATTATCCTTCCACAGGACACTTGAAAAGAAAAAATTATAGATGGTCTTTACTATTTTGCCCCATTTAAGGAGCTTTCTGAGACGTAAAAAAGTATTTTTATTACTACATAGATAAAAAAAACCTTTTAAAAAAATTATCAGAAAAATCCATTTTAAAAGTTGTTAAAAAGAAAAAATAAAATTCCAAAATTGGACTCTGTTTGGTAATTAGTACCTCTAAAGCAACCCTACTTGAGTAAAGTTAAAGTTATCCATTCCGGAGGATTACGTGCCCACGCCACTGGGGACATTTATATAATTTTACAATGTTCCCATTTTCTTCGCTACGCTTTCCAATCTCGTTGGGTCGAACTCAATGATCAGACGATTCAATTCACCGAATTCAACGTTTCGTGTTTGAAATTGTTTCCAGAGATTCACTCGCACATACACATACATACATACATACAATCTCAACAACCGAGAAACCCTAATCCGAAAGGAGACGAAAGAGAAAGGTATGATGTTGCAGAGACCCAGACGGAGGTGCGAGGGCACGGCCATGGGTGCCATCGTCCTGGATCTCCGGCCCGGCCTCGGAATCGGGCCTTTCTCTCTCGGTAACTCCCAATAACACAACCACCTGTATCTTTCGATCGAATTCGACAATAATCATTTCGTTAATTAGGTCAAATTATTTGTGCATTGGTTATTAATATTCAGATTGATTGAATGATTATCGATGGTCGATTGTTTACGTGTTGGGGTGTATTGAAATTTTGCTGTTTTGATCTATTGATATGTTGGTTATCAATTTAGAGTACCGTATCAAATTCTTAGTTGAGTTTTGGGAATTATGTTACTTAATAGTTTACTTTATCTTATCGTCGTTGTGAGTATATGTGTTATGTAATATGTTGATTGATGATTTGATGTTGATGTTGTTTCAGGAATGCCGATATGCGAAGCATTTGCCCAGATAGAGCAGCAACCCAATATTTATGATGTAGTCCACGTGAAGTACTTTGATGAGGTTCGTCAATGAATTTAATTGAAGATGGTTAATGATGTTAATTTATTCAATCTATTATTATGTCAAGGGTCATGCTATGAAATGAAAAAAGAAAATGTCAAATATAGATTGCAAGTGTCAAATAAAACTCCACACCTACAAGTGGAGAATGGGTTGTAGGCATATGATTGGTTAACCAAATGGCAATTTCCAAACCATATCCCCTTGTAATCGGGAGCCATAACAGGTAGAAGATGTTATTGTTAGTTCACACCATCTGGTGTTCAAATTTTTAATTTTTTTTTTTTTTACAGGTTCAGTTAATCCTTACTTCCCTGGTGTCTTGTTTTTGAAGTGTCCAGTAATGATTCTACCTTCTTTTCCCCACAAACGATGTTATGCTTCAATTTGTTAAACAAAGGAGATCTAACAATATCCAAGTTAAGATGCACCATAAATAGTGTATTGCGATGTTGGCTTTCATGGCCATATTGACATAAGTTTTTCTGATTATAAAATAGTTTTAGTTCAATGACTTTTTCAATAAATTTCTAAAATGGCTCTGGTTTTGTGAGCCCTGAATTAAGTCAGTCGGTGTACTCGGGTAATTTAGACTACTCATGAATCACACAGCTCTTGGAAAACAATTGGTTTTGCTGTTATTAGCCTACGAATAATAGGTGCACAGATCTAACAGTTAATGTTGCAATGGTTGCTGCCAGCTCGTAGCATAAATCCTGAATATCCGGTATAAAGTTCCTTCAATCAAAAAATGTTTGCAGTTTGCAATCGGCTTGCTGACTACTTGTACTTTTTTATTGCAATCACCTACCCATTTTTGTCATCGCTGTTATTAGATTATGTCTATTATTCATTTTGTTTTGAGGTTAATGATTTCATTGTATAATGTGATATATGCAATTGTTTTGAACTTGTAGTTATACATGACAGTTCAGTTCGTAGACAGATAGCATTTGGTTGTACTGACAATCTACTTGTCTTAGTTGTCATTCATTTATGGATTACCTAATGGGCACTCGGTGAAGTACCCAAGCATTTTTTTGGTATCTATAAGTTGCAAGACCTCTCATCATTATGCCTGTTTTCTGCAGGAGCCTCTGAAGCTGGATATTGTCATAAGCTTTCCTGATCATGGTTTTCATCTCCGATTTGATCCCTGGTCGCAAGTATTCTTTTTAACCATAGCTTCGACATTACCTTTCCTGCATGGTTATATTTAGCTGACAATCGTATTTGTTTTTATATATATATATTTCTATGCAACTCTAAATATTTGCATAAATTAGTACCTTGGTGCTTTGTGGTTTATTGGACAAGATTTCATATATGGAAAAGAAAAACTTGCTGTTAGTTTTAGCTTACAATGCAGTAATTTAAATTCATGAGTTTGGCCCCAAACAAGATGACCAGAAATTACTAGATCATAAATGCAATGAAACCATTACTTCGATCAAGGTAAATTTCCTAGAACATTAAGTTGTGAAAATATATATATTAATTCATACTTAGTTGAATAAAATTCAATTAGAGAGCCCGAAAATAGAAGAATTACATAATAAATAAAAAAATTGAACAAGAAAAGGAAACCTCAACTATCTTTTTATATAGTTAGTAGAATTCCTTTCTGGAAGTTTGTGAATGTCACACCATATTTTTCATTAGTTATATATTAGTTACTCCAACATGAAACCTCTTACCTCTGGGTTAACAGTGATATATATATATATATTGGTTTTTCCCATCTCATTTTGGTTTTTGGTTGTTGTAGCTTGAAGTTACAATTCCGTAACAATTCTAGACATAATATCCTTGAGAATAATCAGAAAATGAAGAAATTCTTTGGAATTTCTTTATGTATCATTTTATTTTATGGGAGAATGCTTCGTACTTTATTTGAATGTTTGCAGTGAAGGATTCATTGTTGTCCAAAAGTCAGTGGCGTCCTTTGATCTTTGGGCTGTAACAATATATTTGAGTTTGAAGGTGTGGTACATATTATGTGATCTGATCTGCTATGCTTCTAACAATTTAATTTTTTTGATTCATGCTTTATAGATTGTCTTACAGAATGTTATTGTATGAATGATACATTTTGAATACAGAATGTTATTGTATGAATGATACATTTTGACTGACCTAAATTTGTACCATGTATCAGAGGCTACGCCTTGTAGAAATTTTTGATGTCAAACGGCTTCAAATGCGCTATGCCACTTCCCTGATTGGGTGGGTTGTGAGATTGCACTTTATTTACATACTGTCTGTTAGGATTATTCTTGACCCTTATTGTTACTTTCAGGGGACCGTCAACTCTAGCTACTTTTGTAGCAGTTTATGCGCTTTTTGGGCCAACATTTCCTGGAATTTTTGACAAAGACAGATGTGTTTACACTCTATTTTATCCAGTATGTTCAGCGATACATGATTATGACACAATACTTCTTTTCTTTTGCTTTTATTTCCAATTCTTTTTCACTGGGAGGTGATATCTGTATTTTGTAGGGGTTGTCCTTTGCCTTTCCAATTCCCTCTCAGTACACAGAATGCTGCCATGACGGAGAAGGTATCGTATTTAAAGTTTTTATTCCGATCTGCACAAGTGTACCAATTTGTCTATCCTCATTTGGCTCCCTCCTTTTCATCATGAAAGCGGAATTGCCCTTGGAGTTTCCGGATGGCACCACTCCAGTTACGTGCCGTGTCTCCATATATGATAGTTCTACTGATGGTAAAGTTGGCGTAGGGTCCTTAATGCACAAGGCTTCTGCTCCTCCTCTGCCTTCTGGTAGCCTCTACATGGAAGAGGTGCATGTTAAGGTCTGACCACTTCCTTCACTTGCATAGTTGCATTACGTAATTTATTTGTTTGCACCCTTAGTGAATTACTACCAACTCACGTTTCTTCCCATCAGCATCATGCTTCTGATTTTAGTTGGTGAAACCTTTTTTACACATTCTCCTGTTTGTTTAGAGTTACATCTTTAGACGGTATCTTCTTTTGCCCAGAGAGGGGGAGAGGAGAATCATGCAGACAGTGATTTTGAATTTTAGTCAGTGTTTATAAATCTAAGCATGGATGAGAAAGGAATCTTGTGGCGGGTCCCAATTAGTTGTCACATTACTCTGTTATGTTCTTGTTTGTTTCAAAACACGACAACTTATAGATGTACTTTTTGAGACTCCTTTTTCATCCGGTGCCTGTAGAATTTGGATCTGATCCTCCTTTCCCTTGTCAATGTTATTCAGCTCGGGGAAGAATTATGTTTTACCGTTGGTGGTCAGCACATCGCGTTTGGTGCATCTCAACAAGTAAGATCAATTGTGCTCTTTCATTGCATAAAATAATCTTTTTATGGTTTTGTTTGATGTAATATATATATATATATATATATATATATATATATAAAAATTGGTACGTACATCTTTCTCAATATTTTCATAAGGTGTACGGTTTGTAGAAGAAAAACTGCTGTAAGCTTTCTTAATAAATTCTTTTTGATCATGATGTCTTTTCTTAAGCAATCAGATATACCATTTAGATCACAGTTGATAAAGTTGCAACAAGAATTAAGAATCATCACTTCTTCTCCTCAAACACCTATAAGGCATGATCTGAGCAAAGCCGATTTTTTTTTTTCTTTGAATATTTCCTTTATAGAGAACAAAACAATTACCTTCGTCGAAATCATGGGAACTACCCTGTAGTCATTTCTTATTGCATTAAGTTACTAATTCTTTATCTGACATATTAGGGATGGGAAAGTTATTCTGGCAGTGGACAATTTGGAATTTAAGAGTTCTGGTGTGTTACAGTCCTACAGATAATTTGGTAAAAGTCCAAGAATGGAATCAAGAGTGAAAAGTAATGCAAACCAAGAGAAGACAGAGAATTTTGTTGAATTGTTTGCAATAATATGTGAACTTTATATAAATTTGTAGATGTTCATTGCAGGTGGAAATTCATGAATAAATTTGGAATTATTAAATTATGTGGTGATGACATAAAGTTTACCCAATTGATGTAAAAGCTTAGGATTTTGTTGGAATTTTTATGAATGATTAAAGAATTATCTCATGGAAGTCATGCATTACTTCAGTGAATTTGTACTGTTATGCTAAGAGAGGCTTTAGTTTGGATTTTCCTTTCATTTTGCTTGCATCGCACACACCTAGTTTGGGTTTATAGGTATTCAAACTAAAGAGAGTGGAACGTTGCCCCAAACCCACCTCCTCTCTCCACTATAGTTTCCTGCCTCCCCCTTTATTTGAAACACCAGGTTGTACTCTTCCTCCTTGCGTATTAATATATATATATATATATATATATATATATATATATATGTATGTATATTTTTATAATTTTTTTTTTTCTTCTCTTTTAATATATTTTTATGCTAGACAAGCTATATAATATGTATACTTCGTAAATTGTTGAGAAAAGAAAGAGAAACATAATGTTTGAGGTTCAGATATACTTAGTTATAGTTTCACTTTACCTGTATCCGTATCTTTCCTAATTCTTCCATAATTATTTGATTTTGAATGATGTTTATTCTTACTACTGTAACTTTGACTTTATTTCCATCTTCTGGTGAAATCTGTTTTTGATTTATAGAAAATTGATGTTATGCTTTTTAGTAATTCCGTGCTTGATCTCAAATGGTCTTGTTATGCAGATGTATGGATTGCTTTATAGAAAGTTGATATTTTGCTTTTCTGTAATTCCGTGCTTGATCTCAAATGGTCTATTTCTTATCTTTCCTAATTCTTCCATAATTATTTGATTTTGAATGATGTTTATTCATACTACTGTAACTTTGACTTTATTTCCATCTTCCGGTGAAATCTGTTTTTGATTTATAGAAAGTTGATGTTATGCTTTTTAGTAATTCCGTGCTTGATCTCAAATGGACTTGTTATGCAGATGTGTGGATTGCTTTATAGAAAGTTGATATTATGCTTTTCTGTAATTCTGTGCTTGATCTCAAATGGTCTATTTTTTATGCAGGATGTGTGGAGTGAATTAGGTCGCCCCTGCGGCATCCATCAAAAACAGGTATGTGAAGTTACTCAAAACTTGGAGACAGTGTGTCAGGATTGTATATGGTTATAGATTTGAGTTTCTTATGTAAAGCAATAGGATTTTTATTTTTCAGCTTGCAGAATTTCAATTTTTTTTTTATGAAACTTTAAGTGGACTGAGAGAAATTAGAATTATTCAAATCAGTTAAGGAATTTTGTCATTTATTAGAAGGTAATACATTAGAGTTATATATACCAACTCAGTGCTTTGTATTTTTCATAATTTGTATTTTGTAATAATGCATTGTGGGATTCTTGGATTTTTACCTAGATGACCAGACTGGGATTTGAAATGAATGGTAAATGATGTTTTCCAATGTTTTTATTTATAAAGCCAAAAATTCTATGGTTTCTATCACTGCATGCTTGATTCAAATGGTTGTCCTTCTCACTCTTTTTGTGCTTGCAACATGGGTAGAAATAGAGGTAGTTTTTCAATAATAAAATTCTTTCGAATATATGGTGCTAGATGTGATAAACTACATCAAAAGATATAATATTTGACTAATATTAGCAATAACATATTAATAAGGGAAAAAAAAAAAAGGTGCTTACTCTTTCATTTTCTTTATGCTATTTTTGGCTGGGAGTTTGTTGACAGAATAGTTTGGTAGGCGAGTAGTAGGGTACTCACCTAGTGTCATCTACATATTTTGATACTTCAATACTTGCTATTTTTTCATGTTATTATAGCAGGTCAATTAGATGATAGGCAACTAATAGGGTCATTGTCTGGGGTCACCTAGGTATTTATTATTATTATTATTATTTTTATAAGTAGGGTCACCTAGGTATTTATTATTATTACTGTTTTTATAAGTAGGGTCACCTAGGTATTTTGATGACAGTAATTTTTGCTAGGCTAAGATACTTAAGATCTCTGTTAGAATATGTAAGAAGAGAAAATTGAACAAGTGGTAAATATATAAGGAAGTCAACTAACAAGACCATTGCCCAAGGTCATTGTGGTATTTTGACAACGATTATGTTGATATTTCAGATACTTGTGATTTATAGTTTGATAAAATTTTATGGACGTGAAATTTGAATTGTGAGGGATGTTGGAGATAGATGCCTTAGAAATGTGTCTGTCATGGTCACTTTCTGGTTCAGGCCCAAACAATCTGTTGAGATTGATTTTCACTTGTACAGGTAGATCAAATGGTGATTCATTCTGCGTCAGATCCCAGGCCACGCACGACTCTTTGTGGTGATTACTTCTACAATTATTTCACACGTGGCTTGGACATATTATTTGATGGGCAGGTATTCTCTTCCTTTATCTCAGATATTATCAATGAAGTTCTGCATATTTATTTTTGTGTTGGAAAGTAATCAGATCTTTGCGCTAAATTTTCAGACTCATAAAATCAAGAAGTTTGTTTTGCACACCAACTATCCAGGGCATGCTGATTTTAATTCCTATATTAAGTGCAATTTTGTAATCTTTAGTTCTGAGTGTAAGTTCCTGCCTCTCATGCAAGGTGCTGCTTCATTCTCTCCCCCTTAGTCTGCTTAGTCTTTGCTATTCGGAAACTGATTCATTACCCATCTTCTGTTGCCTACAGTTGGTGGGTCTTTTCATCAGGAAGTAAATGCCTCTAAACGTAGCATTGCACCCAGCACAAAATGGGAGCAAGTGAAGGTAAAATTATGTTTGTGCAAGCCCAGATGTGTAGTTTTTTTTTACCCTAGAAAGATTTAACCAAGGAATTACGAAAGTTGATTATAGAAGTGCAGTTCTAATACATCATGGCAGACTTCTGTGATATCATAAGAGAAATTAATTATCTTGATTTTCTTTTTCTATTCACTTGCGTAGTTGGTGGGAAAAAAGTTCCACAATTGGCGTGTTTTTTCTTCTTCTTCTTTAATACCAAAGGGAACATTAAAGAATCCTTCACACTGTTTCGTGTTATTTTCAATGTTTTATGGAATAAACTGTTAATGGTTTACGATGCTGACATTCAGTATTGTTGGGTTGGAGGTGCTCTGAAATTTCTCCTTGTGAAAGTAAGCAAAGCTTACTTTAGCCACTCTTTCCTCCATCCGGGAAAGAAAAATGAAATAGAAAAAAAGAATTCAGTTTTTCGGGTGTTGATAGAAGAACTATTTTTCTGTAGGAGATTCTTGGGGACTGTGGTAGAGCTGCTATTCAAACACAAGGCTCTTCGAGCAACCCTTTTGGATCTACATTTGTATATGGGTATCAAAATGTTGCCTTTGAGGTGAGTTGTTGATAAAAAATCGACCTATTATTGTAGTAGCTAAATCTTTTTTACATCTTTTCCCCTTGCAATGCCCGGTGGTCCTTTTTTACTTTTTACTTTTTTTCTTTCTTTCTGTCCAACTCATAGCATATCCAGGATTTCTTACAAGGGAACATTGATATCGCAGGTTATGAAGAATGGCTATATTGCAACTGTAACTCTTTTCCAGTCGTGATAAAGTGTTGATTGGTATGTGGATTTTGATCCTTCCCTTACCAATGCTATGTCATTGCATACTGAGTCTTTGTGACTGTTCTTTCTGTATTATTCTTCTGTTATTTCATGTAAGCACTGCTCCTTTAGGCCAAGCCTTGGGTGTTGCTTGTGAACTCCTGGAACAAATTTGTTCTTTTAAGTCTCACACGTGTGTGTGTGTGTGTGTGTATCTTGGCATATTTAGGCTTTAGTTGGAAGACTGTTTTCAAGCACTTATGAATACTCAAACATAATATGACATCCAACATAATTTATTTATTTATTTTTAACCATGGCAAGAAACTTACACGCCTAATATTTGTCCATTGTCCGTAATGGACTTGAACCCTCTGCCTTCAACAATCAACCAATTTAGCTATTGTCATTTCGAATAATGTATATATTCTTCTTTGAGATTTATAATGCTGTCACTTCTACGAGTTACTGTCTAATTGACTGTATTTTTTGCATCTCTGGAAAAACATAACCGAACCTCCATACAAGGAGACTTTATTCTTCTTTTTCTTCTGAGACTGACTTAATGCTATGCTGTTTTGAAACCTATTTTTGCAGGGGCTGGTGTGTTTTGTACAGTTAATCGGTGTTAAAGCGGTACTGCTTAGAATGAACATCATGATGTAAAATGTTAATTGTACAGTTATATAATAAATCATACAATTTCTCTATCTTGTCTCAACATGTAGTTTGCAAGATATCGTGCAACTAATTATAACTTTATTATAAAGGTAATTAAGGTTTCAATTCAGCTCCTTACCAAAAGCTTGTCTCCACCTTCACAACCATACAAAATCATGAATCAAATTTAATTCTTGTTTGTAGTCCTGTAGGTGTTTACAGGGTGGACTTTGTCAGTACTTCAGTTAGGCAGTGTCCTAGTGATTTAAAATTTTGTTCAAATCTAGTATAGCCACGATATGAGGATTGAAGTGTGCGCATTGGATATTATCACAATTCTGTAAGCCATTCATTGCCGTAGATAAAATCAAGTGAAATAAATGGTTCCGCCTCTTGTGGGGTGAGCTCCCTGGACCATGACACCCTCCCTCGAAAATCAGCCCCTGGTCCAGAACACTTGAATTGTCCGTAAAACACAGTCCTGCAAAGGAATGCGCATGACTATTGTTTGAATTAGTTATCAAGCTTAACAAATAACTGTAGTGCAGTGTGACTCTGAATATAGTTCCTTGGCATTTGACTGGATTCCATGCGAGTGTTGGGGCATGTGTGTGTGTGAGAGAGAGAGAGAGAGAGAGAGAGAGAGAGAGAGAGATACCTTTCCCTCTTCTTATCTCCCCAATCGTACCATCCTCTAGGAGTGATGATTCTGTCCATGTAAGTGTAAGCAAAAACAACCCTAGAGAAAGTGCCCCATGCCCTGCCCAGGTAAAGGGCACCAGACCCAGTGACCTTGCAGTGGATGAAGGAAAAGCCGGTTTCCTCAAGCAAGCTCTCCCTCTTCTGGGCGGTCAAGGCTCCGTAGCTGTTTGTAATGGCATGCAGATGGCAGTTCTCATAGAGGGAGCGACCGTTCCCAAATATGAAGTCCACAGAACCTTGGATATAACAGTCCCTGAAGTAATGCCTGCCTTTGTGATCGAAAAGAGTGTCTTGTGCTCCAATAAATTTGCAACCTATAAAAGCCGCCGTGTCTGCTGAGATTCGTAGTGCCACTGCTTGCTTTCCTAGTGCACCTGAGGGTGGTGATGGTGCTTTATTCTGTTAATCAAACATACAATCATATAAACAAAATTGGGTATTCTGAAGCTTCCTTTTGCACTATCCATCTTTGATAATTTGCAGGATTTTAGTCGTTTATTTTATAGTCTAACCCAGTCTTAAGGCTTTATACATGCCATTTCATTGAATAGGCTAGTTTACAAGTATGTATATAATACCACATCGAACGGATTCCAGCCTTTGAATGGAACGCTCACACGTGTGAGAGTTGAGATACATCTGATGCGGCACAATACTACTGCATAAGTACTGAGATCCGTCAAATATGATACAAAATCACTGCAAACTTCAGTCCTTGATCATGTGGGTTCTGTTGTGGGACCAACATGATTCAAGTGCTGAGTTTGTATGGTCATGAAATAGTACTAACCTTGAAGGTGATGTTCTTTGCCATGAAGTAAGGCGAATTAATGGCAAACGTTGCAGAATTCAAGGTACCCAATGGTTGCCCATTCTGCCCGGTCCGGTCTGCCGTGTCGTCCCACTCGATAATGGTTGTGTCTGCACCGGCACCTTCCACGCTAATGTAAGCCATGGTCACAGGAACCTCAATCTTCTCACTGACATTTCCCATCAAATTTAAACCATTTTTAATATAAACTAAAAATATTATATAAAAACTTGAAGAAATTCATATACCATAGAAAAGTGAAGTAGAACTCTATCTATTATTACCTGTAAATACCTGCACTAACCGAGATAACCACCCGACAGTTATTGATAATTGGTAGAGAATTTATGGCTTCTTGCACTGTAACAAAATCTCCTAAACTTGGATTTTTATTTACTTTTATGGTTAAGCAAGGATTGAACTTGTTCTTTGCTGTCTGAAAGAGGGAATGATTGAAAGAACCGATTTTTCTAATCCATTTGTGGTAGGTATCTTCAATAACAACTGACCCAGTAGACCCATTTGGATGATAAGATGAAGTTGTGATTTGGAACAATAATATATAAAAAAAAGAGCTTCAATTTCATTGTAAAATCAATGGACATGGATAAAGTAACAGGTTGTAGAGTGAAGAGAAGAAGAAGAAGGTGAGGAGTAAAAATGTTTTGGTTTGTGGATGTGAAAGAGGTGAATATTGGAGGACAAAAGCTGTTTGGTTTTAAAAACAAAAAGAGGGAGGGAAACGCATGCAGAGGAATCTTTGGCAGAGTGTGGTTGGTTGTATGTTTTATCTTCCCACCAAACATAAGTGCCAGTTTTTCCTTTTGTCATGTAGTTTTAAGCTGTTAATGGATGGTAAGAGAAAGAGCAAAGGGAATGGTATATTTTGGGGAAGGGGCGTGGTGCATGATGACAAAAGGTGGTTATAAATCGCATGATGTTGCATCATGGAGATGGCAACATGTTGACTTCGGCATATTGATAACATCAAGCACACATTAAAAGGATTTTTTATTTTTTATTATTATTATTATTTTTTTTAATCCTATTTTAAGCAAACACAACCTATGCTCGAATATTTGAGGAGTAGAGTTTATAGTATGTCATTTAAGTTGGTCGGTGTTCGGGGTTGCTTCTCTATAGCTGGAAATCATTTTCATTTCAAAAAATTGCAGTTGAATATGTTTTGGTGAAAAAATAGTGAAGTTAGGAATTGTAACTTTTAAAATTGGGGCAAAGTACAGAAAATTTCTCTCGACTTGTAACGTTTTTCAATAAACCCTCTAATCTAATTTTTTACCAAAGAATCTCTCTCGACTTGTATCTCTTTCCAATAAATCCCTCTTATCTAATTTTTTTTTTCAATAAATACCCCTTATCTAATTTTTTTAACCAAAGAACCCCCCTCAACTATCTAAGGGGGGTAAAAGAGTTGATATTTGGACCAAAATACATTTTTATTTAAATTTAAATTTTCCCAAATTTTAAAAATTAATATCTCACAAACCGTGCATCCAAATATTACAATAATATATGAGTGAAAAGCTTATAAAATAATGATTCCAGAAATATAAGATTTGTTTAACAAAATTTTATAACCAGAAAGAAATAGACATCTAAAAATCTACTGCAACAATCTTATTTTATTTTATTTTTTATAAAATGCTAGAGTTATTTGTAAGAAAATTTTCAAAATTATTCATTTTCATATGGAGCATAACATATAAAAGAATTAGCCCTAATAGAGACCGAATATTCAAAAATTTTTTTATATAAAAAAATGGCGAGTCTATAAAAGAATGAAAATGCTTTGATGCAAAATATGATATTTCATGAAATCGATTTCTGTTGGGGTTAAATTTTTTATATATTCGGCTTTATATGTAAATGAATGATTTTGAAAATTTTCTTACAAATATCTCGAGTATTTTATTTTTGAAAAATAAAATAAGATTGTTGGAATAGATTTTTAGATTGCCTATTTTTCTCTGGTTATGAAGGTTTATTATACAAATCTTATATTTTTGGAATCCTTATTTATAAGCTTTCTGTGCATATATTATTTATAATTTTTAAATGTATGGTTTGTGAGATATGAATTTCTGAAGTTCGGGAGAATTAAGATTTAAATAATAAGGCATTTTGGTCCAAATATCAACTCTTTTATCCCTTCAAATAGTTGAGGGGGATTATTTGGTAAAAAATTAGACAGGGGGATTTATTGGAAAAATAGACAAGGTGTTTTATTGAAAAATGTTACAGGTTGGTTGGGGTTCTTTGGTAAAAAAATAGACAAAGGGGATTTACTGGAAAAGGCTACAAGTTGATGGGGGGTTTTCTGTACTTTGCCCTTAAAATTATGGTGCGGGTAGAGGTTTATCATTTTCGGTAACTAATATTTTTTTAAAATTTTTTTAGACAATGTAAACCCTTTCTATTTTTTATAAATATAATTTTGTCCTGTTACAAACAAATAGCAAACGAAAATTCTAGTTTTTCCAGAACTCTGCAAAACATCATATTATTAAATTTCATTTTTTAGGTAGCATATGTATGAGTTTGCTTTATTTACTGTATTACTTGAAGATCCTAAATCAAATACAAATTAATAATCATTAAATTATGTTTAACTTATATATATTTTAGTACTGAATAAAAATAGTGAATCATAAACAAAATATGTGATATTTTAAAAAAATAAATTAAAAAATAGGAAATTTATAATATTTAATATTAAAAAATTAACCCATGTTTATTAGTAAAAAGTGTTTTATGCAACATTATTACCAAATAAATTTAAAATTGCTTCAAGTATAAAATGTATTTTATACAATGTGTCACCAAACGCATGTGTTTTACTGACCAGCAGTTTTATGACAGCCCTACTACTAAAAGCGCTTTCGACATTCTAACAACAATCCCAAACACTTTATTTATTTATTTTTGTTATTGTAGTACATATATATTCTTTAAAAAAGTCAATATAATTTAAATATGATATATTTTTAAAAATCATCCAAACATCCTTTTTATTTTATTTTTATCTATTTCCTTTGAAACATTGTGTATCAATTTTAATTACCAAACATTTTTTATACAAAAATTAATTTGCAGTTTTTATGAAATCGAAAATGCAAAACAAAAGTAATTGCCCAAGGAATATAAGGTTAAGAAAATTACGATCAAATGGTGTACATTTAATTCAGAAAAATTTCGTTGCCGGGACTTGAACCCGGGTGAGAGCGGAGTATTTATTTATTTTTTTTGTTTTGTTTTTTTTTTTTCTTCTAATTAGGACTCATACGTTACCTTCACTGAGGCCAAAATAATTTTAATATGGTAGAGTCTAATGATGCGAGAGAATAATTTTGGTTAGGACATTATTCTACCCAATATTAAAATTATTTTGGTACCTCCCAAACAAATCCGTTGTAGTCTAGTTGGTCAGGATACTCGGCTCTCACCCGAGAGACCCGGGTTCAAGTCCCGGCAACGGAAAATTTCATTTTTTTTAAAAGATTAATTACATGGGTTAAAGACCGATGTACCCTTATATTTCGAGTAGTAGTTGCCTAATTTTCTTGGTGGTTTGTTAATAGGCTGGAAGAGAGAGATTCAGAAAACCAGATTTCCAGTCCTGTCCATTGAATTTCACTTTCATATCCAGATTGGAACCGGACTCGAACGTCTTTTGATCCTGCTTAGGGCCGGCTTTCATTCCACTTTCTTACATCAAGAACGTCGACTTGCAATATCTGATTTCACTTTCCGGAATCCTTGCTCCTGGCTCATATTCACACAGGCCACTCATAAGAATAAGAAGTTCAACTCCCTAAAATATGTATAAGTGAGATACTCGGAAAATCTATGAAAGAGGTTCTCATTTCACATTCAAAGTCAACAAGGAATCTAGGATGCAACATCCAGAACAAAAACTCTTTTACCACTGTACCAAACAATGGTCCCCAGCAACAGCTTTTGAAATGTGAAAAATGGAAATAATGCCATAAAAATGGTCTCTACACCATCTACTAGACGAGCCACAATCGTTTAATCCATCGCCCATTCCAAATGTAAAGACAATTATATGCCCTCGTAAAGCTAACGGGTTGGCTCATTCTTGGCTCAATCAGCCTATATATTCAGCGGTTATCAAAAAACTTCACTCCAGTACTCACAATGTAGTATTCCAGTCCTTGGATGTAATGCTGAAAAACAGACTGATCAAGCAACAAAAAAACTGGAAAGCAAATGCAACAAGCATTACTATGGATCTTTAACCATGTCGAGAAATCTCGAAATGCAGAATTCAATGCCATTGTAACATTTGTCTTACCCTGCAAATAAGAGCACTAGCAAAAATTTCAAATAGTTACAAATGATTAGCGTGCTATTTATGCACATACAATCTTATTATCTGCAATAGATAGTACCAATGCTGTCCATATGTTTGTCTAATCAACTCAGCTTCATTGACGAAATACCTACTCCTGCAAGCCTCAAAGACCATAATACCCACTTTTTAAGAAAAAAGTGAGAATGAAAATAGGTGGCGTGCAAACTGGCAGCAAAGGAAGCACAGATGCAACTATACTCGGTTATCCTGCAGGAACCAGGCTTCCAGATTCACAATTCCTGCTACAAAAACAACAAATTCCTGTTCCTTAGATGGATGAAGTAGCAGACACTATGGGTGAAAATGCACATACTCAGGAATGATTATGCTACCAAAATGTCCAACAGAAATGGAATAGTCTATTTTTTTATACATTAGGTTTTCAGAATTCAGAACTGTAATCTATATCTCACCGCTCTCATACCCACAATTCCATTTCCAGGTTCAATGCACACACCAAAATTACTAATCAATAGGATCTTAATACAAATCTCAAAATTAGAGTTTGCTCATGACATCCTAAACCAAAGGGTTGATATTACATCTTTAACTTTTTGTTCAGGAGTCATTTATGTTTTTATAAGTATTTGATCAAGAGTAATTTATGTTCCATATTTTTTATTTATTGTTTCATCATTCATCCATTTCATAGCATCTTTGGATTCTCAATGCAAAACAAATCTAGAATGACTGTGCTATCAGTTCACATAGAGGACCATCTTTAAAATGTCATTGATTGATACATTTTAGTTTTTCACCATAATGTCTGATGATGACTGTCTTTTTCGCTATTGATTCATTTGACAGGATTCAATCGCTACACAAACCAAATTACTAGTCGGGAAAATCTTAACAGAATTCTTAAATTCCAGAGTTTGATCAAAAGATCCTAAACCATAAAACTGATATCACATTTTAATTTACTGGGTTACAAAATATATGATTCAAGAGTCATTTAAACTCTAATCTTTTCAATTTTCTAATAGAATATCTTTCATCCATTTAATAGAATCTTGATATTCTTGTTTCCAATTTTACAACTTTTATTCTATATAATACCACTTCCCCCCACCCCCACAACAAATCTAGAATATCCATTCTGACAAATTTGGCAATAAAAACATTAAAAAAGGGCCCGCGGGGTGGGGTGGGGGGGGGGGGGGGGGGGGGGGGTGGGGGTGGTGTGGGGTGTGGGGTGGGTGGGGTGTTAGGATGTCACAAATGATGCTGCTTTAGTTTTTCATAGAGTTCCAATGTAGAATTAAACATAATTCAAGATCTTGTTCCTGGAGGCAATCTAACCTGATTATTTGAAGCTTGACCATGTATCCGTTGTGGTTTCATATTCAAATCAATCATTTTTGTTTCCATGTTGGAATGTGCATCAGCATTGGCTGACTTAGAAAGACGAGAGACCCTGTGATTTTGCTGGTTCTCTCCATTTATCAGTTTGGGTGGCTGATTTTCACCCTTTATATTGTCAACTGGATCTATTGGTTGCAAGATTGGGTCCTCCACGTGGCCAGGTTTATCCCCAGGAAACTATAGATGAAACCAACAGAAGAAATATTATAAGGGAACTCCTACCATAACAAAAGGAAGAATTCGAACCAATCCTATCAGGTAAAAACAAACCTCAATTCTCTGCCTCAACAGGAGGTATCTTCCATGGGTTCTTTTACCCCCAACATGTACAATCATATCACATTGCAAACAAAGGGAACTTCCATCTATCTCACAGTAGAAGAAAGCTGCATGCGCAATTCAAACGAAGGAATATAAGTTTAAGCCTACCTCATAAAAAGATATTTTCTTAAAAGGGTTAAAAAAAAAAAAAAACAGACGGAGAAGAAACAAAAACGAGAATGGAAAAATAAAAATATATGCGGACCAGGAGCATTTTCACAAATGTCACAGCGAGGTACAGCACTGGGGTCAGCAAGCCCGACTCTCACATGCCGATTAGCAAGCTTATTACACATGTGCACCTGTGACACAAATTTGAGATTTCTTTAGGAATAAAAAATTTGCTATTTTAAAACATCTCCAACAAAATTCAGAAAAAGGGAATTTCAAAGGCTTTGTTTATATAGCAGTGACGCGTCTGGTTAGAGGACACAGAGATAAATCCAAGACGTGCCAAGGCGGAGCTTGACACATTTTTACTATTAACAGATGAGTGATAATGATGCACCTATGACAAAATCCAGCAATATGTCCACGAAAGCTTGATAGAAAGTGAAAAGAAAGCGTGCTAATGTAGAGTTTTTTCCTTCTCTGCAAGGCTTAAATCAAAAAAAATATCCCACCTTTGGCAGCAGCCACTGCAAAATAGGAAACAAAAACACCATTCCAAGCTCAACATCATAAACAGAGAGGAAAGGAAAACATGGATCCATAAAGCATTACATCGCTTCACTGAAGTCTAGGTTTACCCATAATAATGTAGTTTCCTTCTTCATCTGCATCATGATAACACTCCTATTAACAACCATATCTATATCAAATCCCATAATCTTCATCTCTACTTGTGTGGTTTTTGTATGGGACTGAGCTCATCACATACATCGTCATTAACATCATTGTCCTTTCCTTAATCTAAGGGGCCGTACACAAGAATTCTCTTGTTTCATTCTTTTCTATTACATGTCATCTCATTCATCGTTTTTTTAATAATGTTTGCAGTAAGTTGAAAGCCATTAGTAACTATTCAGTGCATGAATCTTACTATATTTGTGCACTTTACCCCCAAACAATTCACTCAATTTCGAATCAACATAAAGTTTATCAGCTGGAGTTCACAAATAAGAAATTCCTCTTGTTGGGAAAAACAGAACACATATAACATGTTACACATCAACCGTCCTCTTTTATTCTTTTCTTTTTTACAAGTCCAATCCAATGGCTAGGCTAAACAACATGAGGTGGGTAGTCCTCCACCTTACCCACAAACCGAATCCAGATGAAAGCGAAATTAATCCCAAATCTTTTGATTCCCCAATTGGTAACAAGAGAATACATCAACCAGTTTCACTTTTTATAGCATCTAAACATACAACTACACAAGTGCTCCAAGTTTCACTGATGCCACATAAACCATTCCTCAAAAGCATCTAGACCAGTCCAACGACTAATTAACAAGCAATTAAGAAGATTGTATTACAATAAACCAACAAATATATATATCACAATTCACACACATCAAAAGAGGCATATATAAATATGGATTGAATATACATATATATAGCCAACAATATTATATAAAACATCAAATTAAATAGGGTTTAGAGAGAGAGAGAAAGAAAAACCTTCTCATCGCAGGAGCGGCAGAGAGCGGCCTCATCGGCAGCGCAAAAGAGCACAGCCGCAGCGCTCTCACAGGCGTCACAAAGCGTTCGCATTCCTATTGTATCTGTATTTGTATTTGTATCTGTATCCTTCCACTCTCATTTCCTCAGATTATACACTTCAAAATTTTCGTATATACATCAATCAAATTCCACATAAACATTCAACAATCAAACACCAAATCCAATTCGATTCTTAAAAAATAAGGGTAGAGATTCAGAGATCGACAAGGAAACAACAATTCACCAAATCTGTGCATGGATATCAATAAATTGAGGATGGAGAAACATTCAGGAAGACGTAGATTTTAGTGAACAATTTGTTTATTATTTTTATTTTTCAAGAAAATAAAAAATAAGAAAATTATTTAAGGTAAAGTAATGAGGTGCGTGTCGACTGTCAACATTGCTTTGTCCGTAGCCACAAATTATAAAAGGCAGAGGAGCCGAAAACGATACCCAGTTACTCCCACCCACCAGTTAGATATCTTGTTTGGGCCTACTTATTAATAATAATTATACTAATAATCATGCTAATTAATTATATCTTATAACAAAATGATCTAGAGCAACATAAAAAAAAACTTCAACTAGTTCGATGTGAATTGGAGGAAACTTGTTCATTGTGAGGGGAACACTCACATCAAGTTGCAGATATCCGACAGACAGTCGCACTCTCCATTATAACTTTTTTTCATATAAGAACAATGCTATTTAAATATATTTCTCAAATCCAAGTGTATAATTTAAAGAGTTTTTATTCATTTGATCTCGTTATAATTATTTTCTATAAAAATAAATAATTTTTAAATTGAATAGTTACAGTCAATTGTTAGACTTATTGTTTTAATTAGTCATTTATGTAACAAATATGAAAATGGAGTCATTTACTTACTTGTATTTGATAAAAATAATTAATTAAAAATTATTCGATTAGACTATTGACTACAAATATTTGTTCAATACTCTAAAAATAAAAATATTTAGACTTATTTTTCAAGATGAAAGGTATGGCAGAAGACTTTTTTTTTTTTTCCCATTTGGTGTGGTGGATGGAACCTACACTTATTCTTGACTAAACTATCACTTTGAAAATTTGTTTAGCATATAACTATTTTTTATAAATATAAAGGAAATGACAAGTATACATTTACTTTCATTTTTTTATCAAAAAAATTTCAATTGTTTCTAAAAATTTCAACACTATTACAAAGTTATCACATTGCCCTAATTCTGTCAATAAATAGTTAAGGACTTATTAAATGACTAAATTACCCTTATGATATACTACTTTAGTTAAAAAAATAAAAATTAATATTTTACAAATTACAAAAATTATCCTCAGTCAATGTATTAAATTATAAATAGTTCAAGTCAATTTATGAATATTATATTATGCATTAAATTATACTTTAGTTCATTTAAATTAAATAAAAAAATCTTTTGTAGACTTCACAATTTGGTAAACAAAAAACTAAATAGGTCATTAAAATATCATTATTTATTTTATATTTTTTTAAAATGAATCATTTTCGTACTTCAAAAAATTGACTAATTACTACACAATTTAAATATAAAAATTGACAACAATTAGATGGCTAATAACGTTTTTCAAATATGTTCAAATATGTTTAGATGGCAAATTAATAGATTTTGGATAACCACTAAATTTTGAATAAAATTCTAATTACAAAAGTTTAATTATTATTTTGAAAAATGGTATAAATAAAAAACAATTGATTCAAAACTTAATTAAAAGAAGATTTCCAAAGTTAGATTTCCAAAGAAGATTTCATCTGTGTTTAAAAAGAAAGTGCATAATTTGATGGTAATTTTTTTGAAATATTCTTTTCAGTCATAAATTATTTAAAATTTAAATTCAAACATTCAAATTCAATCATTTTAAGTGGATGAGTAAACGACGACTTCTATTATTTAATATGCTTAGGTGCATCTTTGAAAAAATAAAAAAAATGTAACAACACATGGTTGGTACATGTTTTTGTAGGGGTAATTTTGTCACTATAAATATTTTGTCAATGCAAGTGAGCAGCACATGCTACTTTAACGTTCCAAACTAACAGAATTGAGGCAATGTGATAACTTTGTAATAGTGCTGGGGTTAATAGAAACATGTTGAAGTTTTATGATAAAAAATTGAAAATATTGAGGGTTTTACGAATTTAATCCTATTTGTTAAGCCTAGTTAAGAGATTACTTGAATTTCTTACTCGTAATAAAAAATGTAAAATACTTTTAAATTCAAGAAATTCTGATCATAACAATAATGTTCAGTAACAATAATAACATTATTTATAATATATATATATATTTTTACCTCTTTGATACTAACCAAGTTTTGAGTCAATCCCATAAAATTTAATCATAAATATATTTACACATTTATTAAAAAGGAATGTTATACAATTGAGTACCCAAAATAAAACATTTTTGGTTTACTTATTTCCTTTCGCTTCTCCGCGTAGAGGTATTGATTTATTTGATTATATGTCTCCATGCTTATTTGTTCAATTCTAAAAATTTGATTACGTTAGATGACTCATATCACTCTCTCAATGGGCTCAATGTCCATTTCTGATTGCTCCACGTGCTCTAAACTGATTGGACTTTTCCTGTTAGTGGTGGGAGACTAGGAGACGCAAGTGGGTGTGGTTAACTTTCCGGTATGCATTTGATTATTGCATGACCCAAAAGTTTAGGTGGTGAGCTGTTGATTAAAATCATACATTTTCTTGCAAAGACGCACACTGACACATCAACATTTTTTGTTTCAGTAGGTAAGCAACACCACACACAGTTACATTATTTAATATGAGTTTCAAACTGCTCACCTTTCCCTTTGGAGTCGAGATCTCTCATATAGCTCTGCCCATTGACTTGGTGGTCTCACGTTTACTTATTTGTTCCAATAGAATTTAACCTTCAATCTTCTCGTTAAGGATGTGGTTGTCACAATAGAATTTTATTGCTAATTTTATTTGCTCATAATTACTCAAATGCACGAATAATTACTCAAAAGTTAATGAACATGTTATAGTTACAGCATTGCACGAGTTGATAGTATCTATTTACTAAGCGTATCTAATCTCATTTGCACCCGTAGTTTTCGTTTTTCAGTGTCGGTGTCCTGTATTCTTTTGGAAGAAGCTTGAATAGTTTCAAAAAGGGTATTAATTAGTTGATTAAAAAGAAAAATCTACTTCAACTCATAAACTCTTAGGCATGATTATAAACTCTTGGGCATGATTATACATAACATATAAATCATCCTTAAAAAATGGTGGACATTTGGGGCTCATTGAAGATTGGGCAAATCCCAAAAACAATATTGACACGCATGCACATGTGTTTTGAGCATAACACGGGTGGTGTAGGATGTGTTTTAACCCTTATATACTCTGTCAAATATTAGGTATCTCTTTTGGAAAGAACCTTTAATCAAACTTTTAATATATGTAACTAGGTTTGAAATAGAATTTTCAAGGTATTTATGAAAAAATTGTGAAATGTGTTAGTTTGAACTTTTTAATGGATAAATATTTTGGAATAATTAAAAAACATAAGAGCCATATACAAAATTAAGAGTTTGATTGATTTATAATTATGAAAACAGTTTTTTTGGAATGAACAAAAAACTGTACAAAAAATCTTGCTTGATTCAGTTTTTTTTAAAATTCAATTATAAAAATGCATATTTTCAGAGAATTGTTTTCATAGTTACAAATTAGACAGGGCCTAACTCTCTCAAATTTAAATTCGAATTTGTTCATCCGTGTCTTTATTTTATTTCATCCCAGTTTCAATTACATATTTTAGATGTGTCCACATCGACACTCGAGGGATACAGAGCATAAAGTACGTACATTTCATTGATTCAATCTTACAATGTGTCTCACCACAAAACAGAACAATAATGCTCTCCAATCAATTGAAAACCCCAAACCCTGAAAACCTGTAACACAAATATAATAGCAACATAATAATTGATTTTTTCTTTTTTCCTTTTTTCTTTAAATCACAAAGCATTGCAAAGAGAAGGGTACAAAACAATCCCAAACTTAGAATGAGAAGTTCATCATGTCCATGCTCAAGCTCTCCATCATCACATTCTCCATCAATCCACACTTGGTCACCCCCATCTTCTTATAGCTTCCGTCCCTGAGCTTGAATGGGCAAGAAGAGATGGGAAGGACCGGTATGTTATCACAGTTACATATTTCAATCATGTACCCGTCCGGGTCATGGAAGAACACTTGATCCACCATGATCCCGTCTTCCTCTACTACAGCAGTCACATATTTCATTCCCATGTCTTTCAGTCTCCTCTTAACGAGTCCCACGTCAGTGCACTGTTTCAAAACACATTTTAAAAAAATAATTTCATTAATTATCGACATTCTTATAAAGAATTGTGTTGTATTCTTACTTGAAAGGATATGTGATTATCCTTAGGATTAATGGGTCGTGGTTCGTTGTTTGTGTCATACTCGTCGTCAATGGACTCATTCTCGAGAAAGTGTATCCCAATCCCGTAATTGAATAACCTAGAAAAAAATTAATTTGAAAAGAGTTATTAGTACTGCGTAACCATGATTATAGTCATATATTAATATAAAGTAATGTTACAAACAACGAATCTGTTAAAAAACAACTGAGTAGCATGGTGACTAAACAGAAGTCACAATCAATTAAGAAGGAAACAAAATTAGAAGAGAAGAGAGAGAGAGAGATTAAGCTAACCAAGCTCCATGGAAATTGAAAGAAGAGGGTCTTTTGATGGAGAAAAAGCCCAAGACGTCTTCATAGAACCTAACAGAAGTCCACACTGATCTGACCAACAAAGAAACATGGTTTAGTGACAGAAGTGGGAGTGACTCACAGCTGTTTACTTCCTCTATCTCCATCTCTCTCTCTCTCTGTATATATATATACACTGTATATTTGCTTATATATCTAATCTCTCCAATCTCACTCTTCTTCCTCAACCTTCCTCTGTGTACATTAATCGTGTTACTAGTGTTGCTCCTTTATAGAGAGATGTGCATGCTTTACAACTGATCTCAAAATTGAGTGAAGAACTTTCCTCGCAAATTCCCATTGAATACGACAACAAATGGTATGCAGTCATATCATCGAATCATCGTAGTAGCAATCAATATTGGGCGATATTTACTCGCGATATATAAAAATATAGATACATAAATAATAATTATTGATTTCTCCTGCTCATTTTATAAGTCTGGGAGAGAATAATTTGTTATGATCGCTCACAGGTTATAGAATGTCATGATTTCATATCATTTGGAAAATGTTAAATTCTATATGTAAGGTTCAACACGACACAAAACGTTTTAGTTAGGGTTTAATAATATCACATCGCCTGAAAAATGTGAAGTGTTATATGTAAGTTTCAACACCTTAACACAATATGTTTTAAAGCTGTGATGACTATGAACCTACTAGAATTTCGGAGTTAAGCGTTATCTGGAATAGTACCGGGATGAGAGACTCTGGGAAAACATTTGGTCTGAGGGAGCCAAAAACGGACAATATTATATCTTGACAGAGTGGGGGTTGTTACATAATTAATTCGACTAGAGCAAGGTATATTAACTACCTACCAAAGACCTTTAACCTTCCTCTCCTGAAAGAGGTGGGCGAGGATTTGAGTTCTAACTTCTAAGCATAAAAAAAAAGTATTTGTGAGTACCTGCTTGATAAAAAATATATATATTTACACACTGCTCAATTATGCATTAGCACGAGAACATATATTTTAAAATAAATAAATAAATGCGTAAGATAGTAATACTTACTGTAAAAGAAAATGATGAGTTACAAGTGCCATTTTCTCATATTTTGTTAAGTAAAGTAGGTACGTAAACAGTCACCGACCCAATAAGGGTTTCGTGGGGGTAGCCACCCCGTTGAATTTTTTTCTTAAAAATTTATTTATAAATTTTATGAAAATTTAAAAATTGTCAATATATATATATTAATTTTTTTTTTTTTTTTTTTTTTTTTTTTTTTTTATAAAAATTTTAAAAATGCTTACACTCAATTTCTAATTAAACTCACTTTATATTATTATTGTTCAAGGCCACCATTCTCATACAATTCTCTGATCGGTTTATTGTAGGTAAAGTACACGTATGTGGAAAGAAAAGGGCATGGAGGTTAATTAAGGGAAGTCTTAAAAAGGAACTCTTCTATGCTTAGGATGATTTCTTCTCTTTTTTTGGTAAGTTCGCTCTGGCTTGAATTTCTAGCACACACAAGTTGATAAAATGTCACACTAAACCTTAGGTCCCAAATGCTTACCAACAATTAATTGATTAGTTGGCATGTTGGGTCAATTCCATAGGAAAAAAATTAAGGAAAGAGCGAGCTAGTAAAATTTCATTCATGCATATACAATGATATTATTTTACTAGTTATATGGAGGATGACTATTTATTATTACTCTTTTTATGCCAAAATCATTGTAATCAAAGTTTAAAAAAATCTTTGATTGTGATCTTGTACCTTGTATTAATGTTTGTGTTATGTTTACCCCAAGCTGAGCTTGGTGTTCCAAGTGTATCAGCCCAAAATGGGTAAGGATCAAATAAATAAAAAAGGTAGGTTCCAAAAAATGAGAAATTTCTTAGATGTTTCATCAAATAACATGTCAGCAACTGGACAACCAATGGATTACCAGTTCTAGCTACTTTTCTCTAGCGTCCGGACCCTACTTCAGTAGTTCAGTGGGTGTTACAACTTACTCTTCCCAGGCTTTGATATATATAAATATATACATATATAAATATACACACACACACATAGATATCTATAAATATGACGGAAAAAAAAGACTTCCTTTCCCTTAGATTACTTTTTCCCTTTTCTACTGCCTCGCTCACTCTACTTCTACCGTACAAAATATAATATTTCTTTATAAATATGAATATATTGGGTTCAATTTGCCAAAATATATAAGAATTGCATATGTGAGCAAGTTTTAAGAGATATAATTAAACTATAAATTGGTACACTAAGTTAATTTTGATCTCTCCGTCTTATTAATCAATAAGGACAAAATGATCAGGCTTTGTAGTGTAACTCAAGTATTATTATATAACACGATCCTTTTACAGTGTAACATTTCAATATAACATGTCCATCAATCATAATTATATAGGCGATTGTGAGATTTGAACTTATGTCAGGTTTGGTGTAGGTGTTTTGAATTTGTAATTACAAAAAAATTAATACAAATTTTAAATTAAATTTTCTCTAAAAAATTAATACTTAGGTGTGGGTTCATTACCTAAGTATATTGTTCGAACGATCACAATAATCCGACCCAATTGCCAATGTTTAAAATGGGCAATTTAGCCCTTTTATGAACCCATGCAGGCTTTGGCCTGTCTGGTATCATGGATACATGGACTCACGAGTACCGTACATGGTCATGTGGGCTTGCCAGGTGCCAAATAACAAAATTTGGAGAAGACTTTGAGATGGACTGGACAACTATGGGCCTAAAATGTGGGAGGCCCAACTTGGCTCCAACCTTAATTGTTAAATCAAGCCATTCTCTGGATTGGAATTATTTACATTAGGGTTAAGTGCAAAAAAAAATCCCTAGTATATAGGATTTGTGCAGAATTAGTCCCTACTTTTTAAAAATGTACATGTTAATCCATAAAATTCAAAAAAGGTACCAATAAGGCCCTCTGACCACTTTTTTAGCAAAAAGTAAATCTGGATATCCAATTTTGCCCTTCATTTCTCTCCCCTCCTCTCCCCTCTTCACCAACAAGCCACCTCCTTCCACCACTATTACAGGCCACAACTCCATCACCGCCACACCTAGAAGTGTGTGTGTATATATATATATATATATATATATATATATGTATACACACGTGTATATAACTCAAAGCCCATCACTAACTCATCGAACCACTTCCACATCACTCACTCAGTGGAACTCACACGCAGTCTCTATCCATTGATGAGAGAACCAAAAGAGAGAGAAGGTTATCAAGAGATGTAATTTTTTGGCCGCCACTCCTACCAACCACCACCATCACCGCTTTCCCCCACCGCCCCACTTCTCTCACATCCCTCGCATTGGAATAGGCTCTGCAACAAGCGATTTGATTTAGCGGCGATGATATACATATGGACGACTTCATCAATTTGTCCTCTACCAAGAAAATTGAATCTCTTTTGTGACCCATAAAGGGTCTTCATCAATTCGTCCCAATTCCATTGTAAACCAAGTTATATATATATATAGAGAGAGAGAGAGAGAGAGGAGAGAAACCGTGGGCTGTATCAAACCCATCTCTTTTATCAAATCCATTTCTTTTATAAATGTTGTATGCACGAGAAATGAGGATGAAAATGATTTTCTTTTTACTTGTACTTCCTTTTCATCCATATTATCATTATTGCCTCTAACACGACAATTGCTGATGCCTCCAACAAATACAAGAACACTTAAATAGAACTTATGACATCTTTTCTTGCTCTAGTGCATTCATGGAACTTTCCTCTCTTAGGGCTAGTTTGGTGTGGTGGAATGGAAAACAAAGAAAGTGGAATGAAATGGTTTTTATTCCATTCTTATGTTTGGTGCCCAATTTTAAACTTGGAATCGTCATTCTCCACCATTCTTGGAGAATGGTCATTCCATCAAAACCATTCCACCTTTAAACAAAAGGAATGACCATTCCATTCCCTCTTTCAACTCTTTCTTTCTCTCTCACAACATTTCTCTCTTCAGACCACCCTTATCGGAAACCATGGCGCCCAATCTAAAACCCTATCTGGGTCTTCTACTCTTCTCTCTCTCTATATCATCTCCGTCCCTGCAATTTCCTCCTCCTCTAATCCCCCAACAGTCTACAAAATTCTCCCATAATTTGGCCTCCCGAGCGGTCTCTTGCCTGACTCCGTTAAATCCTACTCTCTTTCCGACGACGGAAGCTTCATCGTCGAGCTCGGAAAGCCATGTTATAAAAAGTTCGAGTACTTGGTCTATTACGAGACGAAAATTACAGGGAAACTCAAATATGGGTCAATCGCGAATTTGGATGGCATTCAGGTCCAACAGTTTTTTTTGTCCTCTCTGTCGGTGACGATCTAGCACAACAGAAGCATGTTTTTTCTCTATTAGTTGATTCCTCTCTCACAGTTGTTTTTGGTATTTTTGGTGGATTTCATCTATTTTTGGTGAATTTCATCTGTTTTTGGTATTTTTGGTGGATTTCATCTATTTTCGAGAGTTGTTTTTGGTATTTTTGGTGGATTTTAGAATTCATTTATCGAAATGAATAGTGGTGATGGTCGTGGTTGTGGCAGTGGGAATGTTGATAGCTATGGAGACTCTGTGTTTATCTCTCTATCTAGTTTATTTTCTCTCTCTATCATCTCTTCACCTTTTTGCTTTTGTTAATTTTTTTACAATAATAAAATGTATTTAAAATAATATAAATCTATTCCATTCTAACTTTACATATTCCATGTTTGCAAACAAATGGTAGAGTGGGAATCAACATTCCCATTCTATTCCTTTCTCATTCCATTCCCACCTCAATTCTCATTCCATTCCAATTCATTCCTGCACACCAAACTAGCCCTTAATGTTGGATCAAGATAATTTTGGGTTGGATTTGGTGGCAGTGCTGATGGCGTTGGAAGTGCAAAATGGGTTTAGATTATATATGTGTGTGTTTAGGTTTGGGGTTGGATTTGTGTTTCTGGTTTTTGAGTTGGAAAATGTAGTTGATGGTGGTGGTGGTGGTGGTGGTGGGTGGAGAGAGAAAAAGAAAGGTCATTTTACAAACTCTACACAATTTGGACAAAATGGTCATTTTACATTGCTGATATTTATATTTATTAATTTATGCTGAAATGAGGGTATTATCTTCATTTTAAGTCTCTAAGGGCTATTTGCACCAAATAAATAGTATATGGGTGTTTTACACTACATGGGGACT